CGAGCAGGTAAGGAGGTGGCGCTCTCTGCTGTTGTCGTTTCGACTTACGAGGATACGCGCTAAGGAGGTGGCGCTCTTGGCGGGTGGGTGGTGAACCATTTCCAGCAGGGAGATTTCGACCGCCAACTTTGAAATTTAGGACAGATTGCCCCGGCATAACCCGTTTTATTTTAAGACTTTTTAAACATCGAATAGTGATTCTACCCATCGAAGTAGGTTTTTGATAGCTTTTTACCGGGCTTAAGGAAAGATTATAATATATAATCGTACCTAAATTATGATGTCAATATATCCAATAGATCCTAATGAATCGTAGAAAAGGTAAGATTTTTAAAGATCGCCGTATTTACTAAAAGGCATCATTAATCAATTATTTATTTGAAGATGCCTCATAATATCGACAAGTCGCTTCTGAATATATAAATTCATCACATATCGTGAAGAGATTTACGATAATGTCTAGTGGTTTGATTAAAAATTTCGAATCTATTGTCGTTCGATCAAAATTCCAATCGAACTTTATGATTTTGTGAAATTGGCAGTATTTTTCTAAATAATCCAGTGAAAGCGACTATGTCGGCGCTCCGCGCCGGAAAAAACGAGAAAGTCTTGTGCGAGCCTTGCACCATGATGCCGGCGCAAAGCGCCGGTACGCGGCGCCTGCGCCGGGCATAAATTGGCCGGGGGCCAATTTTTTCCATAGATTTTAATGCCAGATCAATCGATATACGTACGCCACGTCACCGAAGGGTAAGTGATGGGAACTTTTCTCATGCAGAGAGGCAACGAAGATAAATAAAGAATGCGCGATACGTATGGCTACGACGCTGCACTTCCTCTGATTATCTGCTGATTGAAAGATATCCAAACCTGTTGGAGACGGCCAATAAAGCGTATGATGGGCCTTGCGGGAGAGTTTGGCATCGATCTCAACGGCCGTGGCAACGGTCGAACTGAAACAGGATGGCTTTATGGATTTTATAGTTCAATAAAGAGGAGCAGAGAGAGCCCAGCGCTTACCTGATATTTGGTAATCCGGTTTGCAGCACGAGTCAGGCACATACTTTTTCTCCGGCCAAGCTGCGATGTCGAACCAGTCCTCATAACCACGGACGCCGCAACAGCTCAGCTAACATGGTAATCAATAACGTGATTGTTAATGAATCTTGCAGTATTATCAAAATTATGAAACCACAAAAAACCTAAAAAAGGGTAAACATCCCGCCAAGCCTGTGAGATTTTATATCACAAAATTAACTTGTATGTACGTATGTATCTAAAAAAATTAAAATTAAGGAGAGGGGGAAAATAGTATAGGTAATCCCCTTAAAATTACAAAAGGAGGAGAGAAAAGTAGCTCAAACTCTGTTTTCCATTTCAAACCTCAAAATGTCTGACATCATTCGAGGTCAAGATTTTTTAAGTAAAGGTACGCCTCAGAACTACTAATTGTAAGAGCAAATGGGTAACTCCGCTGAGAGTCCCCTTCAGTTAGTCTTGGACGCAACCAGCTTTCCTTTGAAGCTAGTTTAGTTGCCTGACTCACTGATACTAGGCTCTTTTCATGTCGTGAGTTCCAGTTTTGAGCATCACTAATGCAGCTTCCTCGTGATGAAAAGAAGAAAAGGACTCATCCCGCTTATTTTTGTTCCCACTTCAATCCAAGCTGATTATATTCCCTTTTCCGAACCCGTGCTCATGTCATTCATAATGTGCGAGTCTCTCCACCGACAAATATCTGGACGTATTTCTATCGAGCAGATTTATATGCAGGTGAGAAATATGGGGTGTGCTCGTTAGTTCTCTGCCCTTAAGAGTGAATGAGAATAACGAAGCGCCAGTGACGTCAGCGGCAATGATCGAGCGCAAGCGCAAGGGAAAGGTCGTCGTCGGGGTGCTTTAACTCATGAGCCCTGTCCACAACGCTCTCGTCCCATGCCCGCGACTCATGAATCCCGCATTCAGTTGCCACATAGTTCCCTTTGCTCAATTCAAAATCCCGCTTTTCCAATTCTTCTAAAGGAATATCACGCCCACTGCCCACATTGTTTCTTATCCAGCTTTCTAGAGCATACCCCATATTTCTCACCTGCATAGTTCTGTTTCATAGCAATACGTCCAACTAAGCTACGTTTGATCATTTAAATTCATAGACAAATCGATAGAAAAAGGAGACAAAGAGAAAATTAAGCGATGCTATTGCTGAAAGCAGGTGGTTGCAATGAACAAAGGAGGTACCCAATAGATTAACACTCATGGCGACCCACAAGAGATCATTCAGTTAGGCTATAATAAAAATCTCGTTTTAACTAATAACCCAAGTAGCAGTGATTGCGATAAGTTGCGATTTGATCGGAAAGTGTGTCGCGACTTTAGCGACGGTGATTTATTATACAATATTTGTGGCTACAAAATTTGGATGAACTGCGATTTAATTGCATTTTGCAATAGAGTCGCGATTTACCGAAATATCGTCGAACAAAAAGTCGTGATTGATTAAGATTAAATTTCGATTTTATCGAACGCGATTTTCATAAAATTGCGATAACATTAAGGATAATCGTCCAGCGGGCTGATTATTGAAATTGATAGACAAAGCAATGGACAAAGAAGACAGAAAGGATATGGAGGGGTCCTATTGGTGGAAGCGGGTGGTTGCAATGGACAAAGGACGTAGGTAATAGACTAACTAACGGCAATCCACGAAAGACCCGATAGTTAGTCCATCATTTACTCCCTTAGTCTATAAAAACCGCCCATTTCAACCAATAGGATCGCCCTACACTCCTCATGTCTTCTTTGCCTATAGCTTTGTCTATAAATTTCAAAAATCGGCCCGGAGAGGTTGATGATCCTAAAGATTTCATCGCCAAAAGATCGTTAAGTAAATGTCACTTCATTTCAAAATATCGCAATTTATCCGTTGAAAAATGCTCCTTGGGAGGATCGCTCAATTGGACGTATTTCTGTCAAACGGCACTAAGCGCCATAGGGGGAGGAAGTTGAGGGGGCTTGGATTGGCGGCGGAACCGGGCGTCGCACTCATTCCGTCCTATACTCGCAACGCTTTTCCATGGCGCTTAGTTCCATTTGACGGAACGCGCTACCCGGCATTCTAAATTCTTCAAAAGGAACTCAAATTGGCGTTTAATTCCGTTTGACAGAAATACGTCCAATTCTCCCATTGTATTCTTTGTCTATTGCTGTGTCTTTCAATTTTAATAATCAGCCCGCTGACTTGACCTGGTCTTGGCTCCTGCTTCTCTGAGCTATGTCATTAAACTCGAAAGATTGCCCCTGCCAATGGCACATGGGATTTTTCATTAACTCTCACGAAAGAAGTGAGCCATGCTGCTTAGCGGGATCAATTTTGCCGCGAGATAGCGCTCTTTTGACGGGACATCCCGCTGAATGAATTAGAATGCACCTGCAGCGTCTAAAAAATCATGGATTGAGAGAGGTGAGCAAGTCGGTTCAATGCAAGCATGTATGCCTCATAACTTAGGTGACGAGAATCATCACTCAGTTTTAGACTTATAGCGCGCTGCTGAAGCTCAATAGCATGATTTTGTCTCAAGAAATTGTTCGTCTTGATATCGGTGTACAAGATTAGCATCAAGTAGCACTTTTTAATGGAGAAGTCGCGATATATTCAATTAAGCTGCAATTTTACACGATTTTTTTAGATTAAATCACTAGAATTATCAACATGAGAATCCTCTACCTTGTCACGATTGTATCTCTAAAAAATCGCGTTCGATAAAATCCAAATTTAATCTCAATTTATCACGATATTTTGTTTGATATCATTGCAATGAATCGACTTTCGATGAAATTGCGATACATTTTTCGATCAAATCGCTATTTAAGTATCGTGATCACTGCTACGTGGGGTATACATATGTATACAGGGTTATCCAAAAGTCACTGACCACCCCTGTAACTTTTTTCCAAATTGAGATAGAAGTTTGAAACTTTGGCAATGTTCCTCGGTCTAAAGTAGCGACTTTTTGGTCCACCCAAAATATTGGGGGCGGCCCCCCCTAAGGGGGGCGGGGGGCTAACTATTTTTTTTAAATGGCAACCCCCACTTTGTGACACCTCATTCGAAAGATAATAAAAAAAGAAAATTTTTGGCTCAAACCGCAGGTCAAAATGTTGATTTTTGACAAAATGGCGGCCGGTCAAAGTTCAAAATGGCGGAAATTTGGCATCTCCGTTTTTTATCGGCGGATTGGTCTGAAACTCAGAATCTTAGGGTGTTCTGGGACGAGAAAAACAATTCTGGCATCGGTTTTCCAGAAAAGTCAGTCCTTTTCAAAATGGCGACGGTCAAAATGGCGGCCTAGAGCGAGAAGTGGATATTTAGGCTGCTTATCGTTGGATTTGCATGAAACTTGGTATCCGGGGGTATTTCGGCACGAAAAGAACGAATTTTTCATTGGATATCTAAAATTCTGACGAATTTCACAATGGCGGCGGAAAAGTGGCGAGAAATCAGTTTTACGGCTGTTTACCGATGGATTTGCATGAAATGCGATATCGATTATTTAGTATTTCAAGATTTAATGAAAGATTCCTTTTCATCCTGCCAAAAACCACCAGGATATCGAATTTCATGCAAATTCATCGGTAAACAGCTGATTTCTCGCCACTTTTCCGCCGCCATTGTGAAATTCGTCAGAATTTCAGATATCCAATGAAAGATTCATTCTTCTCGTGCCGAAATACCCCCGGTTGCCAAGTTTAATGCAAATCCAACGATAAGCAGCCTAAATATCCACTTCTCGCTCTAGGCCGCCATTTTGAAAAAGACTGACTTTCTGGAAAACCGATGCCAGAATTGTTTTTTTTGTCCCAAAAAACCCTAAGGTTCTGAGTTTCAGACCAATCCGCCGATAAAAAACGGAGATGCCAAATTTCCGCCATTTTGTCAAAAATCAACATTTTGACCTGCGGTTTGAGCCAAAAATTTTCTTTTTTTATTATCTTTCGAATGAGGTATCACAAAGGGGGGGGGGTTGCCATTTGAAAAAAAAGTTAGCCCCCGCCCCCCAAAATTTTGGGTCGACCAAAAAGTCGCTACTTTAGACCGAGGAACATTGCCAAAGTTTAAAACTTCTATCTCAATTTGGAAAAAAGTTACAGGGGTGGTCAGTGACTTTTGGATAACCCTGTATACAGCAGTGATTTTCATAAGGCAGTGATACATAGGGACGAACCGGCCCTTCATTTACACCAGGCCTGCGAGCCGAGGGCCCCTCGACCCCTATTCATGGGAGAGGGGGGGGGGTGGTGGTTAAAGAGGCTTTGAGCGGTTTTTTGACATTGCTGGAAGAGTGTTGAATAGGGCCCCAAGTTTTGCCAAACTGGGCCGCTGCGAGGATCTCTTGCTGCTAGTGTTCAGGAACGATTGTCCTCGCCAGAAATGTTCGATCAATTACGTAATCGATTATGCTTCCGGTATTTCACCCAGTTTTGACAATCGTTTGCTTCCATCAATCGAAATTAATAATTGATGATAATTGATAGAATAATTAGCATCAGATAAGAACGGGAAAGTAAATTTAAGCGATAAATTTCGATTGTTCGCATGCACTTAAACGTACAAAACCAGGTGCTACCGACTTGCAAGATTAACTTTTGGTGGTACACTCAATGAGTGTAGGTATACTGTGATATTCTTGTGATTTATACACAAAATTGGTGAGATTTACGCTTTGACGTGAATTTTTCGCGCTTGAACCGTACAATATTGCATTATTTTAACAGCTGTCCTTGCTTTTTCACTCAATAAATCCGTCAGTATTCTCTTCCGCTATTCAGCCAACGTCACGCATCCTAAAAATTGGTGTCTTAGAAATCAATGTTTTTTCAAACCAAATATTTTACAATGAATTATTTTGAACATTACTAAACTTGATGCAATAAATAAATACAACATTAACAGCGGTCTGACCTTATTATTTTTCAACCCGTTATTAAGAGTGCTTTCCGTCAAAAACTGTTTAGTGGGCAACAATTTCTTATTAACATGAGACTGCACACGGAAAAACGCAAACCGTAATACCACAAAACTCTGTCACTGCTTAAAGAGATGTCTTAAGAACATATTAATACTGAAATGGCCTTACCCTAGTAGTAGAACCATATGTAGAAGAAAAAGATAAAGATTATGTACGAAAGTTAATTTTTTTTTATATAATGCATGCATACGAAAGTGTTGAAAGTGAACATTTTTATGTAACTATTAAAAAAAAAAAAGTCATAACTTTCGTGAGCTTTTCGCAAACATACTAAAAAATCTTGTAATTCACGAAAATATCACGAAAATGATGACCTTTTTCTAACATAATAGATTCATAAAAATGTTCACTGTTAACACTTTTGTATGCATGCGTTATATAAAAAAATAAAAAAAATTACCTTATTTAGCTTTTATCATTTATCATATATTATAGTCAGGTTTGAACTTCGATTTTTTTTAAAAAGCGTTACACGTTTTTTATATAAAACTACCATTTAGATAACAGATATGTTATTTTTTACACTTTTTTTAGAAAAACAAAAATTTGTTCTGCTACTAGGGTATAATTTTACGCAAAATATAAATCAAGACAAGATTCCAGCTCAATGAGCGTAGTTTTGGAGAGGAAGGAAACAATTCATCAGTTTTCATTTGATAAGTCCGGGGCTCAAACTTGGCGAATTCAAATTGAACCCTACGTCCTCCATTGCCGCAAAACGTAAAAAAGGATCTCGCAACAAAAGACTTCTCATGGGGACGTGTACCACGATCGATTTTAATTTTTTTATTGTTTTAAATTTGTCCATGGATGCTGATCAAAAACCATCATTACACCAACTTTCTACGAGCCTGGCTCGTGAACACACTCGAAAAACAGTGCAAAAACTCGTGCGAAAAACAGTGTTTTCGCACAATGCGCGGAAAACATTTCGATTATTCTTTACATAAATGAAGGTAGTTTTCTTTTTACCTTGTCTTTCTACCGTACAAATCAGTCTCTTTGTCTCTTCCACTCTATTGTCCTTACTGGACAGACACGTATTGCGTTTTGATTTTAGCCGGCCTGCCATGGAAATTACCGTAACTTAAATCACGGAGTGTGCGAAAACGGTGGCTCGTAGAAAGTTGGCGCGATGATGACTTCTGATTAGGATTCATAGACGAATTTAAAACAATAAAACAATTAAAAACCGATCGTGGTACAAATTCCCCCAAGGAATGTGCTGGGTCCTTTCTCGCAAATTATTCTTTGGAACTTTGCACTAGAATGTGTTTGGGGGGGGGGGGGACAAAAAACACGAGAGCGTGGATTTAAGTAGAAATTCGACGAGTTTAGTAAAAACTTTGTGGAATCAAGATTTCTGAACTGCTGCAGAGTCTCCCTCTGCAAACTTAAACTCCATTAACTGAGGTCAACGTTTGAATCAAATGAAATCAACTATTGAACTACGTTTAATGAGGATCACTGTTAAAAATCACCTTTTGATAAAATTTAGCTTTCGGCAGTGGGACCAATGTTCCAACTTTTGAGTTTCTCGGCATTATAATCCCGTTGCCCGTGAACGATCGCATACTTTTCTTCAATCTCTGTAGGTGACTCTAAATAATTTTGTCAGTGCAATGTTTGTAATTGAAGCAGCTAGTGCATGGATTGCAGCTGTTATACAGTGCCCGATAGTTCATAAATCATACAATGTTGAATCAAGAGAATACAAATCAACCATGATAGAAAATGGTGGAGGGGACCGGACTATTTCATGGTAAAGAGTTTCACTCGAGTGCACATCGTGATGCTGATGGAGGAAGCGCAGCAAGCCACAATGGTTTGCCGAATGGAGTGAATAAGTTATATCGGGCTTTCATAATCGTATCCATCCATTTTTAAATTCGTGTATTGACTCAAGGCATGTTTAAATTTGTGCTACTGCTGCTGATTGTTTGCTGCTTATCATGTGACCAGGTTTTGACTCGTGCGTTAGGAGACGCTGATTTTGACGATGACAACGCTTGGTCTCACAACACTGAAAGCCTTGTGCGGAGAGGCACGAAGTCTCGCGGAAGTGGCGGTGGGCATGGTAGTAGTGGAGGTGGAAGTAGAGATGATAAAAAAAAGGCTTTTTGCCAAAAGAAACCGCTGTGTTGTATTAATGGTGTGCCTATACACGTTGATGACCCAACTTTAGAATGTTGGGTTAAAAATGATCAATACTAATTCTTCTTGATCGCTCATTTTATTCCTCCTTTTTATCGTAGGTTATACCTCGTAAAAAATTCGGTCCCTGGCAAACTACGCTATATGAACCTCCAGGTGATGCCAAATGTACTTCAATAAAATGCGTATTTCTCGGTGAGCTTATGAATATTTTTGTTCCAATTTTACAGTAAATTTTGTACACAATTTCACCTAAATTTTCTGAAAATTTCAAGGAAAAATACTAACAATTCTCCTCACAAATAAGCAATATATCGAAAGAAATTTGGCAACCCTATCGAATGTTCATCCTGTTGTGATCCTTAGCACGGCAGTATAAGGGCCCGTCGCCTAAATTGAGGGGCTTGGAGGACAAGGCGCATAGGTGCAGTTTTTGAGAAACTTGAGATATGAATGATTTCAAGTCGAACTAGTCTTAACGCATACCTATTCTGAGACAAATTCGCTCCCAAAATCCAATTTTTAAGAATCAAAAAGTCAGAACTTGTTTTACGCCATGAGGATCCGCGTAAGTTCGAAACTTCAAATACGTATTTCTCGAAAAAGCAAAAACGGCACTTTTGCGCCTTGTCTTTCAAGCTCCTTAATCACGCGAGGCTTTGTGGGGAGGAGTTCTCGCAGTTATAAGAGCAGATGAAATAGTACTTAGCAACAGGTACGTCAGGTACCTATAGGATTGTACAATTTTTCACGGGTTTAAAACGTTTTATTGGTCTATCATCCCTAGCGACTTTGATTAATCGGTGTTCAAAGAGAAACTATCAAGAGAACCGTCACCCTCTAGATATTAAATTAAATGCAGTACTTTACTCTGCGTCTTTAGGTGGCAATTCTAATTTTCAAATCAAATTTTTATTTTTACTCACGCAATTTTCTCCAAATTTTGTGAAAGGGTTTGGGTCAGCGTTACGGCATATTTTAGGAGTCCAATGTAGCGTCACGAAGCATCATATGAGGCTAAAAGGGCTGTAAAAAATTGCAAATGTACGATTGTCATCTAGGGACGGCTGCACCTTTTTAATGTTTCAATTGGTAAACTTTTCTACTTAATATTTCCTCATGTTGTAATAATTGGCCATCCGTACACATTGCCAAGATATTATTGATAAGGTAATTTCAAATTATTTTTCGACATCTTACAAAATAGGAAAATTCCTTTTTCACCTCTGGCATGCCGCCACAGCACAGGAGCACAGTAACAGTTCCGATAGCACTTGTATTGCTGGAAGTCGTTTCACGATCATACTACATTTAAGCTTTGATTGGGGTTCACCGAAAATGTGCGTTGAACTTTACTTAATTTTAGGAAGTGTCTTATCAGAGCCCGTAGCTTCTAGCTCATTTAAGTGCTTTTGTACATAGGTAGGCTTTTACATGTTCAATGAAAGATTTGAATATGAAGACGAAGAGACCCACATTCTGAAGTTAGAAGAAGAAGAAGAAGAAGAATATAAAAAAACTGCGAGAAAAATCGTACTTTATTTTGCATGTGCGTCCACATGGCTTGAAGTCCAGCAGATTTGGGCATGCCGTAATGTTGCTCTATCCCTGTAATTAGCTCCTCTCGAAGCATCCGACTCAGGTCATCGCGGAAGAAGAATACGAGGGTACCCAAAATGAACTCCGTGAAGAACAGAAGTACTACTAGAGTAAAATACTGAAACCAAGAAAAACATTACCCTTAACGAGAATGATGAGAACAAACAAAGGAATCCCAGAGAGTTTCCACGTTAATGTAGTTTTCCAGTTACGTACTTACATTCATTTCTTTCTGAATTCCGACTATACATATCTTTCAGTGTGTAGAAGCTACGTGTTGAAAATGACTCTTTAGAGCACAAACAGCAAATGGATTACATTTTGCAATTAGGAACTAGAAATTGTGCCTCAAGTTAAAACCATCGTATGTAGGTACCATTAGTTTCTTTGTCCAGATAAGTGCTTTTAAAGATGGGTAGGATGTTATAGTTCTGAATTGCAAAATGAAGTCCGAATGAAACTCCTGGAGAAGACAAATGAATGAAGAATACGCAAGTAATTTTTCCGTGATTCTGAGGAAAATGAATCAAACGTTTAAAATAGGTAGGCAGCAGTCTATTAAAAATTTAAATTGATGCTGTGGAGGTAAAGGTTGAGTCTTCGAGGGAATGATTATATGGAAACGTTTTTTTTTCGTAAACGAGTTTTGTTCAGAGTCACTAATATCTTAATTTTTTTTTAAAATGTCACTTACTTTATTCACTCAACGGAAACCTTAAATTGAAAATTACAAAGGAATACCAATTTTTGCTCTTACAACTGGCTGAACTGTTTTCAAAATAAACTAACAAAAATCCCCAAAAACATTTTCGGGTAAAACATCCAGTTGAGGAAATTGACGTGTTACATCTTAACCAAAAACATTTCCGTCCACCCCTCCAAGGAGGTTGATAAATCTAACTGTGAGATGAGCAAAAACATCTTTTAAATTCTCAGGGTTCACCAAGACCAAATATGTCTAAAAACTTACTCTTTAGGTTTTAAAAGGGGTTTGACCCCCCTTGAGGGTTTAAAAAGAGGAAGAACAAATTAATCCTCTAACAATAGGAAAATGAAAAAAAAAATCGAAAAACAGATTTTGAGGTTCATAAGTAGCTAAATCCCTAGCATGAACTTGAAATCACAAAATCGGTCGAGGATGTCTAATAAATTTTTCCCTTCAATTATGAGTTTCGCAACAAGCACGACTCGATTGATCCTTTCCATACGCGAGCCGTACGAAACTGATTTCTTCTTACTTACTGATTGTGAGGTGAGCGGGAGCATTTACTTTTTCCTTCATATACGTACATAAACGGGATGCAACAAGCGTGACTCTTGCGTTTGCAGAAACCATTTCAATAAGGAGACCGCGAGAGCCTGTACCGCGTCCACCTCCGAAAGGGATTCCTCCAGAATTTTAATAATTTAAACGATTCATCTGTTCGTCTCTCCTCTCCTTCCGTCCATTGACAGGGGCTCAAGATTTTTCGGACTCGCTGACTCGACCGGCTCGATGCGTTAACGTCTTGGTGGACCCTGAGAATTTAAGAGATGTTTTTGCTCATCTCATAGTTAGTTTTATCAACCTTCTTGGAGGGGTGAAAGGGAATGTTTTTGGCTGAAATGTAACACGTCAATTTCCTCGACCGGATTTTTTACCCGAAAATGTTTTCGAGGGTTTTTGGTAGTTTATATCAGCTCGTTTTTGGATGGACAAAGGTGTGGCTATAAAATATTATGTAGGTACTATTAGCTATTTGAAAATCCTGAATGAATGGAAAGTAGGTAAACAAGTTGTTATATCTGCTAAAGCACTTAGACATTCAGCGGCATTTTTAATCGCACCCACTGACTAACGATCCGTCTGGAAATAGGTAGTTGAAAGTAGCAGAGTTACCCAAGGTAGTCAAATGCATCTTTAGGTACCTATTGGAAAGGCTCAAAAGCCGGGATTTTCCAGAGGAAAAAAATCGCATTCGAGTGCAGTTTATATCAGTATCGAATGCGGTATTTTTCCTCCAAAAAAACCCTGCCTTCATTACGTTGAATTTCCTTGTCAAATTTGGTACATGAATTCTTTAGTCTCATGACAACAGAAGTGCGATCTCAAAATAATTACAAGTAGCTGCAATAATTGTGGAACGAATTGATGCGATAGGTACATAATACCTATACCACGTCGCTCTGACACAAAAAATGGCAACTGTCGAATCTCCTTCTCACGCATGCAGGAGCTCCATCATAACCACCTCTATCTTTTTACTTCAAGTGCATACAAAAGAAATTGCTGCTCCAAATCAAAATTGGACTACGAATTTTAGGCTTTCATGGAATTTCCGGATTTCAACTTTAGAAATAAGCTCTGACTAAACTCTGATGGATATCCTCGCCGAGTATTATCCTTTTTCTGTTAGAATCATTCATTTTCCCCTCAACTTCTAATTGGTTAATGTGTGTTTCCTGGCTACAAGATTTGTAATAAAACACTCTTAAATGTAAGATAAAAAATCTACTTAAAATGGGATTAAGGCCGCAAAAGTAAGAACATAAAATAGAAACATGGGATGTTTCGCGGTCTGAGCCTCGCCGCAGTTAGGTACTGTGAAACTCAAAAATAAAAAAGAGTCTCAAAATAACAGCAATGCGGTGAGGCTCAGTTTGTTTCTTTGTAATTTTGCTTTTTTTACCGATTGTCGAAACGTCTTGGGTTTTTAATTTTATGTTTTTATTTCTGTCACCATAGTCCCATTTTAAAATGATCTCGTGGTATGATTTCGATTTGATTAAGTTTTTTTTTTATTACGTGAATGTAATGAAGAGTGACTTACGGTGATAAGCATGCACTTATTTTTGAACCAACTGCCGCAGCAACCGAAGAAGGTGATGAGAAAGGTGATGGCTCCCAGGATGAGGCAGACGGAGTCGAGGCGTGCTACAGCATGTTGTGGTAGAAGAATCGAGTAAGTCCGGTGAGTCACTCGTAGCCATAGGCCCGTCCCGATCAGCCCACAACCAGACAGCTGAAACAGTCGATAGGAATCCGCTTGCCATAAGAAAAAAAGAAATGATACAGATTTTAGATTTAATCCTCATATTAATCCCTTAAAAATCCTTTTCCTGTAAACAAACGACACATTTTTTGTGAATCTACTGTGAATGGATTTGAGTTCTTAAAATATGTAACATTATTCAATGCAGTAATATTCAAGATAGTTGAGAAGAAAATTCAAATACCATCGGAAAGGCAGGAGGAACCAACATTTTCGACTCGGTTGCCTTCTTATGGATCCGGAAAAATTACCTCGAGGGATGCTTAGAGGTGCCAAACGACCAAACACATGTTACATGATTACAACGATGAGTGTTTTCTGGGGTCAAGATGGAGTACCTATTTTACGCAAACACGTAGCTACAAAAAAAATCAAATTGTTTTGAAAAAGTAGAGTAGGCCAAATATTTGCTGTTCGGTTGTCTTCCTAAGAATCTACAGAAATAACTTAAAAGGTACCGAATGTCTCGGAATATTCTTTGACCGCATCCAACGAGGCTTTTTAGGATTAAAATATAGTATTTTTAAAGAAAATAGGTCGACGTGATAAATAAATTAAAATCCGTCTAAAAAGCAGGAAAGACCAACAATTTTTGGGTTGATTGCCTTCTTAAGGATCCGCAAAGAATACTTAAGCAGGTTTTTAGTGGTGTCACATACCTCAAAACTGTTAATACGACTGCAGACTGACAAAGATAGCTAAAAGTGCCAAATATCATCATTTTTAACACCGACTTAGGACTTAATTAATTATATTTCTCGATAAAAAGCAAACCAAAGCACGAAATATTTATGATGTAGTTTTCCAAGGATCTGTAAAAGGTATCTAAAGTTGTCTTCACTTTTGAAAACTTTTAGGATTTCTTTTTAATGAAACTATGTGAGGAAAACCGGTATTTTTTCCATGAAAAATAGGTATCCGACTTCTACCTCGTGTAGAAATGTAGAATGTATTAGAACGATTCGGAAAAAAATTGTAATTCATGCGTTACAATCATCTTAGGGTCCTCTAAAAAATGATATAAAAAAATCTGAGAGATAATTTCATGACTCAGGGGAGGCTCCGAACCCTTTGGTAGAAATCGGCACTCTATACAGTTCATAAAACAAATATTAGACTGCGTGAACAGGTTACGATGCTTTCAAAGTGACTTAAAATTTTTTTCAAGCATACTAAATGAAGTTTATAAGCCAAAAATACTGAATTTAACAATTTTACTCGAAAAAATATTTTCGTCCAACTTAAAAGAATCGATTATATTCAGCGGTCCCGGGCGGATTGGGACCATAATATTCCGGCGCACCCGGATCAAAAAAATCCAAACCACCCCCCCCCCNCCCCTCATTATTCATGAAACAATCCTCTAGACTCTGACACCAAAGACTCAATTTTCAGTCTCTGTAGATCATTTAGATACGATTTAAGGGTGCAAAATCTACACGATCCCTCGATCTCATGATTACGGGCGCGTGGTATACACTAGTCGATATTAATTGTGTTAGGTATCTGCGGGCTGTACGCTGTACCTAGGTCTGACACAGAAAAAAATAGATTTCAGCAATTAATAATGCGTACGCCGTAGTTTACGCGCAATATGTGGAGTATTCCTGCAGTCTTGTAGGCGCTAACATGCGTCGCACGCTGATCGCACCGCACTGTATTTGGCGCAATGCATGAAGTAATCCTGCAATATTGTAGGATTGATATGCGTTTCACGTTGACTGCACCGCTAGCGTCTCTTATTTTTGAAAGTTGAAAAATTTAAGTTGCCGTTCGCTCAAAATATGCTTTGATACGTCAAAATCATGAAAAAGAAATGTAAAAAAACCGGCGCTCCGCTTCGCTTATGCTATACTAAGGATTTCCTTAAACCCCCCTCACTCACAATATAAAGCATACGAGACCCTCTGGAGGAAGAAATTCTTCGAAGAAGCTGTTTTTAGGATCGCCTTTAAAAGTCCCTGGGGCGATTGCAGATATGTGTGTGTGTTTTTGTTTTTTTGTTTGTTTGTTTGTTTTTTTTTTTTTTCATACTATCTCATGTAGGTGTGACCCTATAGAACTGCCGCGGGTCCAAAATGATCCAAGTCGGTCAGGCTAGAGTGTAAGTTTGATAATTTGCATGTTGACAGTGTAGGCCCGGAAGCCCCGTCACAAAAAATTGTTATCTTCGACCTCCGGAGGGAGCTATGTTATTCTCCTGTGCATGCTCGAGACTCGGGAGACTGAGCCACTGAAAGCCTCTTTCATTGGGATACTAAGCACTAAGCAGTCGATGAAAGAGAACAAGCGAAGCTATTAGCGTGGATGTATGCGATGGTGTTGGACGTTCGAGAGACTCCCGCTCCAGCTCCTGGTCATTACGTCTGGATCTAGTCCATTCGTTGCCCGATAAAGCGCGCCAGTTCCGGACGTGAGCTGGGAAATGCCTCACCTTCTTGCCACATTGCATATCATCCATCGAAAGGGATATATTTATCTGCAGCCTGTGCGGGCTGATTCTTGAAATTTATAGACAAAGTTATGGACATAAGAGACAAAAAGGATATGGAAGGATCCTGTTGGTGGAGCGGGTCGGGGTCGTTGCAATGGACAAAGGAGGTAGGTAAGAGACTAACCAACGGCATGCAGAAACCCAAGAGAGGCCCTGTAGTTAGTCTATCAGTTATCTCCTCAGTGTATAGAATGTACACTCTCGATGTTGATATAGCACGAGTCAAACAAAATTCCTGGCAATTCAGCAAGTATGGGTCTTGGTCTCTGTGTTATAATCATCTTCAAAACCTCGTTGGGTTCCGTTGGATGTGCATCCATTTCAAAACTTGTTACCTAGTTTTTTGTTGGTTTGTTTTCTAAAATTTTTAACCAACCGACCAATACAATATCACGAGTGAAAAATGACCTTCCGACAATTTGAATAGATAATGATCTATACTTTTTCCATCAAATAACACTGCACCTATTTTATTTATCCAGACATTTTTTAAAACAAATTTAGGTTCAGTTTAGTTCTTTTAAATCTAGATTTTAAAAACAGCAGACTCCACCCAAACCAAGGCGTATTTTAATGAGTGGAGCGTCTCTATTATATGTGTTTTTTGTTTTTTAAACGTCTTTTATTTTAAGCGCTCAGCCGATACTCAGCGTTTATTGCTTTCGACCCGCCACTTGGGCTTTAGAATAGTAGAGCGATGCAGCGGTTTGGGGGGGGGGGGACAAAGCACCATTTTAGATGTTTTCATTAATATGTATGGAACTACTTAGTTGTATTATTGCATTTGTATAAACATACACAAGTAGCATATAGTAAATTAGATCTAAGACTCTTCAAAATCGCGCTGATCGCTGAACGCTACTCTAATAAGAGCTGTCTCGCTTGTATTACTTTGTTTCACCCATAAATTCTATTCCATAATTCATAGAAAAATGTATATTTCTTACCACAGGAAAAATTAAAGTAATTTAATTTAATTCAATGCACGGTAGATCTCTTGGCAGGGCCGGATTAAGGGGGTGGCCACATGGGCTGCGGCCCATGGTGGAAAAATGTAGGGGGCGGCAAATTCTGCAATCTTTTTGAATGTAGGTATCAAAAAAAGAAGAAAAAATCGGATTCAGAAAATGAATTACAAACGAGAAAAGGCGACAAAATCTCTGATTTCCTGAGAGTAAAAGCACAGTAATCTCTAATTTTGTTGTCTTTTGGTGATACAAGAGATAACACCTTTAATTAGTTATGAGAGAAACCAAACTCGCAATTAGACCTTGAGCGGAGCGGCGCAGAGAGCAATGATGACGAGAACTGAGATGGAAAGGAGAAGCCCTCGGCGCAGCAGTCGGTATGAAACGCATAGCACCTACAAGACTGCATGAATATTTCACGCATTGCGTCAAACAGTGCGGTCCGCAGCGGTCGACGTGAAACGCATAGCGCCTACAAGACTGCATGAATACTTCACGCATTGCGCCAAACACAGAAGTTAAAATTATTAAACCACATTTATGTTTGTTCATACAGTTCGTTTCTTATAAATGGAGGGCCTTGTTCAAACAGGGATGGGTTTACGGGTTCACTTAACTTTCGCTTAAAGTTCCGTGAACTTTTGTTGGTGTTGACAGGGCTTACACAAAAAATGTGCCCAACACGAGTAAACGCGTCTCATACATCCCTCCCCCACCGGCACGTTCACTTAACGAATGAGAAGGGGGCGGAAAAATACAGGCGGCCCATGGGCGGCAAGTTAAATCCGGCCCTGACTCTTGGCATGTTGGCGTGTCATGGCCCACGATATCCATTTGCATTACGCACACTGAAGAAGTGGAAAAGTAAAAACAGGACATCTAACCAAATAGGAATTAAAAATTCCAGAACAGTAGAAAGTGCGGATCTAAGTGCATCTTCCATTCCTGCTTCGGAACAATATCGGAGTCCCTCCTCACCACCCCCTTCCTCGTGGCAGTGCCCCAATCGCCCGCTGTTTATTTAAATGAGGCCCGTATCATCTTATTCCCCGTTTCACATGAATACGATTTACGGTGCTCCGTGAGAATAGTTTTGAGGTTATGCTGATACATCCACAATACACCAGGATCGGGAGTCGTTTTTTTCCGCGTTCGGCTAGAGATCCCAATGCCGCGATGAGCATAATCGCCGGAAATAATAGGATCTGAGGGAGGAATTGGGGAAATCGACAAAACATGATATTCGAGGTGAAGAGAAACGCTGTTGCTAAGTTTTGTTGGGAGCTATCTCAAAGCTGATGAAAATTATTCGTAGCTTGTGATATTCTCTTGGTAGCCCAGATGCACGGAGAAAAAAATTTCACACCAAAGTTTTTCAGTTCAAGATTTTAGGCCATAGAGGCCTGATATAGGCTCAGTTAATCTAAAATTGATTTCTTTGATCAAATGCTTCGATTAGCCAACCCGAAAAACCTCGGTGCTCAATATAAAGCGAAGTTCAGCCCTCATAACTGCATTAGGTACCTATTTTCTCATTATATCACAGAATTTCAAAGGAAACGTTCCTGAAATAGGCAGCATAAATGAATGGATTCAACAAAAATTAGCTTAACTTCTAGATCCTGGAAGTATGCATGCACTCATGTCTAACATTGTTCTCATGCTGCACTTAAACTAACAGAGCTTTCTTGCATGATTTAAGAAAATTTACTCACCCAAACAATTGCATTTAAATTGCAAAAAAGACACCTGACACAGGTGTTGAGGCTTCTGCACATGACTGCAGACATTGAGGATATACCCTTGAAATTGTTTAATTCATGGAGATCTGCAACAAACCGGTAAGAAATTGTTTAGTTTATTTTCCTATTAATTTGCAATTGAATGATTTGCAGGATATGACTAAAACTAACTTTCAATCTGCATTGATCTCTCTTGTGAAAAACAGCTTAATCTATGGGATCCTCAATATTACCTATCGTTTAACATTGTATTAACCAATTTTTCCAGCTAGTCAACTTTCTACTATGTTTGTAAAATAGAAAACGTTGTTGCACAATCAATATACATAAAGATGGAGCGATTGTATCTAATAACAGGGGGGGCGTAGTTGAAGCCGCTTCGGCACTCGCTGTGCTTTTGTGGCGTAAATAAACGCGGGAATCCATAGCGGCAAACGGAAAATTGATTAGAATTCGTCCTCTTGTTTTTCGCACACTTCTTGCCCTCAACTCGTTTTAAATGCCTAAAACAAGCAAATCAATAACGTTGTGACGGTGACTTTTAATAATAAACCTACTTTGGCTTGGTAACAAGCAATGAAGTAAGATATAGTTAGTTCTAGTGTTGCTTATGGTGGTCCCACCAGTTCAAACAGGCCTTTACAGTTCCAGCCCAAAGAAAATTAATTGGTGGATGACGGGACCAAAAGTAATCTGAGGTTTAAGAAATATACGCGCATAGGTAAATGAATTTGTACAAAAATCAACCTAGAATACTTTGTTTACTTAGTTTTATTATTCCGTTTCCGCTCTTTATTTAGATTTCAACTTGTCCTGATTTTGCCGCCAATCCTCTAGCCAATCGGAGAGTTGGCTTCATTTTTTTCTTCTAGCACTCCGTTTTTATGTCTTTGTGCACAATCCACTTGAGATTTGAAACGATACCTACTCTACTTAAAACACGCGGAAGGTGTATATCATGATGGTAAAAATTGCAGTAATGTCTATCTCGATTTGAGGCGTTGCAGACTTCTGGCCATACTTACTGTATTTTCTACGTGAAAATATACTTAACGTCATTTCTGTAAATTTGGTAATTTTTATTCTCTACGTGAGGAAAATTCTGTGAAAATTTCGATCTAAGATGTTTGTGATTCTCCTTTTAAAAAATAAAGAAGGTGCGGAGATTTTGAAACACTACAACCGAGGTACCTACGCATTTTCGCAGTTTCACCGTCGATCTACGAATCTCTGCACTGCTTCATGTAAGGTACGCTTTCCTGTGGTCTAATATAAATCTACAATTCCTAAATCGTTGGTAGATATGTCCCAGGATTTAGTGAAATCAGCCATTTTAGCAAATGAGCAGGTAAGGTAGGTATTCAAAAATGTTATCTCAGATCAAAATTCGGAGATTCTTCTGAAAATATAGTTGAGGCTCTTTGTCATAGTCGCTCTTCGTTCATCATTAGGTACTTACATGGTTTTTTTCAGAGTTCTTAACCTTAAATTAACATACCTCTCAAAACTAAGCAGTGCTTCAAAATATCAAGCGTATTTTAAAATTTCACGTCAAAAAAGTGTCAGGGGTTAAGCCATTAACCATGGTAAGCTGGAGCTATATCATGGATATTGCCATGATAAGCCATAAGCCATTTTGTCAAAAATCAACATTTTGACCTGCGGCTTGCGCCAAAAATTTTCTATTCTTATTATCTTTCGAATGAGATACCACAAAAGGGGGGTTGCCATTTGAAAAAAAAAGTTAGCCCCCGCCCCCTTAAGGGGGGCCGCCCCCAAAATTTTGGGGGGAACAAAAAGTTGTTACCTTAAACCGAGGAACATTCCCAAAGTTTCAAACTTCTATCTCAACTAGGAAAAAAGTTACAGGGGTGGTAGGTGACTTTTGGATAACCCTGTATATGCATAAACAACATACAAGAGAGAGGGCGGATAAGATCGGGAATGAGAGAAAAATGCAGCTGCCGGAATGAAGAAATTGAGAGAAAAGCAGAGCAGAGGATATTGTTTCATTACTTTAGGCTACATAACCAGGAACCGGGAGCCACCGACGTGACTGAAATTCTTGAAGATCTGCGTTCGAGGTTCGAGGCAATAGGGCGACCGAGCGCGAGCATTCACTGAGGAGCCGTTTGATTTTGAGTTTAGTCCAAGTTTCGGTTCTTGCCCGGCTATTCGTAACTTGTTGACTGGTAAAAATATCTCAAACAAAACGTTCTCGTCTATCTCTTAGCGCCGTTGTTCCAGCACTCCGATTGGGACCGTAGCTCCAGGCCACGTTCATCATCACCTAAGCGCCCAGAAAATTTTGTTTATTACTTCATCGACCAAGTTTCTCGGCTCGATTCTATTTTTCAGTGCCTTGAGTATGACTCAATCCTAATAAATGGGAGCTCTGCCGTCTTGAAAAAGAGATCATTAACTGCAAAATTAAAGTCTTCGGAAAAATTGGCCTCGATGTATTGGAGAGGGAAATTTTATTCAAGGTACCCCCGTTCATCTCTATAAAATCGCGTTCGATAAAATGGAAATTTTGCTGCAAATTTATACGATGAAACCGCAATTTATAGCAATATTTTATTGGATCAAATCGCAACTATCGCGATCTTGGAGTTGTTAATACAATTTTCAACATACTAATCATCCAAAATGCTCTGACAAAATGTATTGAGATTAACATATCCTCGACTAAATGAGTAGGAACTTTCTCATTTTGGGTCTGGCAAGATAGGAATACGCGCCATGGTCTACAGGTTTGGGTGGTTAGGTTTACGCATACGACAAACAAATTTTAGACAGTGATGCGCTAAACAAGTACTATTTTACCCAAGACAGCAGTAAGTACACTTCTCTCAGGGTATAATGTAATCCTACTGCTGTTATGTCCAACTTCAACTCAATTTTTGTGCCCTCACTGTTTTCATTTTTGTATTTTTCTTCATTCATGCGAGCATCAACAAGAAAAAGGACCTACATAGGTGCTTTCATTAAAAGCTTGATTTTCGCTGTCATTTTTAAGAGATAAAGTTTTTAAATGAGGTATAGCCATCGATTTTTAAACACCCCAACATCCTCCCCACGTCCGACTCTCCTCAATCGAGATTCTCGGTCGTCTGGGGAAATCCATACATAAAAAAATCGATGGCTGATACCTCGTTGTAACACTGCATTTCTGTGCTTTTATCTAAAATAAAAACTCGAAATTAGGACATTGGTACCTACCACCGCAAAAAGGCGAGTTCAGCGTGCGGTTATATTTGTTACACAAAATATTAGGGCAAAAAGAAAATAGAACGCTTAGAAATTTACAGTTCAAACAAATGAGTTTTGAAGCAAAAGCTATTTAAAGTTTTAATTTGGCGAGTGCAAAATTCAAAGTTGCTGGATCTGGGATGTAACATGCACTTTGTCAGCAAATTGATTTTTCGATGGTGCGAAGTATTTCTTTGGGGAAAAATAACGAAGAACGTATACGAGATTTTCACAAGTGTGGTGACTGATACAAAGGAAACAGTACTTCATCAAAGAAAATTTGAGAGTCGTGTGGTTTCAAAGTGAAAGGCCATACATGTAGTTCAACAAAGCCAATTTATACATATGTCTGATCAAGCGAGAGAGAACTGAATATGTGAGAGTGGAGCATAGTAAGAAAAATCGTTTTCACATCCAAAAAGGCAAACGAATATATCTACACAAAAGTGCGCGCAGCTTGGAAAAGTATTGTGAACGCAGATGCAGGTATGAATGAACACCGAATGATGCAGAAATGCAATTATGACAATAAGGCGGGTAGAAAAAATTGAAAAAGCGTTGATATTCGGTTAAGGAAGACCACAAAAGAGGGAAAAATCAACAGGGAGGATCCAAAAAATTAAATATAGACCTCCGACCAGCAAGTGCATTTCAAAATGACGATTTAGGAGGGGAAAATAAAAAGTAGAAAGTCACAAAAGTATGAATGAACGCACTCAAAAGTGGTGTCATTCCCCCCTGAGTACTTGATGAGCTCCTCCCTTAATTTATTACTGAACACCCCTCCCCCCTTCAAAACAGGCGCGCGGATTTTCAGAGGGGGGGTGGGGTTCTGGGTGGGCTTCCCCCGGAAAGTGTTGACCATTTTTTGCTCTCTAAAGGCAATTTGAGGTTATGATAAGCAGTTTTGTCTCCTTCTTCACCGCAGAAATTTGCTTGGTTTTCACGTGTAAATATGTATATCATTGTTTTTTAAAAAATTAAACGAAACTTTTTTTCAGAAAAAAACGG